AATTTTAGTTTGGAAAAAATCCCAAACAGCCCGATTATAACCATTTTTAATAGGCTTCCTTGGGCCAAAAACGGTGCGTGTACCAAATTTCATCTAATTATATTGAAAATTGCGATCTGTACCTTGTGCACAAGGTTTTTGCATGGACAGACAGAAATTAAATTCTAAATTATGGCGGACAGAGGACAATAATTGACCCTATCCCAACGTAATAGATGAGTAAGTAGTTGTAAACAATAACAAAATAATTGGTTTATAAAGATCTAAGTGCATATCTAGTCCCACCTTTTGAAATACACTTAAATTGTATTTGATATGAGTTCATGGTGTTTAAAATTGTTTACAAATTTTCTGAAAGTACGAATCGACAAATTTATTAAAGTTCTGATGTTTCTATCTATCTTCTTCTATCTATCTACATATATAAAAATGAATTTGTGTTTGTTTGTATGTTTGAACGTTAGAGACTACTAAACGGCTGAACCGATTTTCTTCAAATTTTCACAGCGTATGTATGCATGTCTGGAATAGGTAATGGGCTACTTTTTATTTTGAAATTCTAAGTGGGCGGGGTGCCACGCCCATATTAAGAAAATATGAAATGCGTATATTTGAGATAATATAACAGTTAGAGTCCTCAAATTTTGTCGGAGCCACTTTAGTGTCAATATGATTATTTAGGACAAAAAGTAGGTGGACTAGCATTAGGAGGCGTGGCACAAAATCGTTTATCTTGGAAGCTATTACAGTTAGAATCTTAAAATTTTGTACGAATAACTTTAACATCCATTTAAACATTTTGGGTAATAAATTGGCGGACTACTCATGAGGGGAGCGGCACCTCCCATATTAATTAAATACAAAAATTCGTTTATCTGGGAAACTAATGGAACTAAATTCTTCAAATTTTGCACGAAGAACTTAAATATTCATCTGAACATTTTGGAGGAAAAACAGCGGACTTTCATCTAGGGGGGCTTGAAGCCCCCATATGAATTAAATAGAAAAATTCGTATATCTGAGAAACTATTAGAGCTAGAATCTTCAAATTTTACTTGAATAGACATTCATCTGAACATTTAGAATATAACGGGCGGACTTTCAAAGGGGAACTTTGCACCTCCCATATGAATTTAATATAAAATTTCGTTTATCTGGGAAACTAATAGAACTTGATTTTAAAAGTTTGCATAAATTATTTTAATATTCATCTGAACGTTTTGAGGAAAAAGTGCGGGCTTTCATCTGGGGAGCTTGAATCTTAAAATTTTACATGAAGAACTTAACATTCATGGGAACATTTAGAGTATAACGGGCAGACTTCCAATGGGTGGCTTAGCACCACATATATGAATTAATTACAAAATTTCGTGTATCTTGGAAACTCTTATATTCTTCAAATTTTTCATAGATAGATAGAAATTGGCGATAGATAGAAACAGGCGAACTTGCAATAATTTGCTTGACATCTCTCATATGTAACATATTGTAAATATGGAAAACTATTGTAGTTAGAATCTTCAAAATCGTTAAGTGGGTTTTTTATTTATACATATTGCTTTTAGGATAGCAAAGCACACTGGGTATAGCTAGTTTATAAATATAAATATACAAATGTATATAATTGTCAATGTCAAGCCCTTATTTATTTCATAATTATATGATTTTCATTTCCTAACTAAAATTAAACACAAATTTCCATGCATAATAAGATCACGGTCTACTTGTACCCTAGAATTATTTCCTATGAATTTTTTAAATTGTTTATTTTAATATTCGCAAATATAAAATTAGATAAAATATTTTAATCCAAATAACTTTTAGATCAAAATATTTTATGTTATTTTATATAATTATAATTAGTTTTTATATAAAACCGACTTTTGGTTAACCGAAAATTGACCATTTCTAGAAAACAGGTTTGTTGGTTAACCGATATGTTTGGAAATCTTTAAAATATTATAATATTTAGTTGAAAAATGCCATTTTGCGAAATATGAATTACTAATTAAGTAATTCACTTGCACTTTTTAGTATAGATATGTACATTAATATATCATAAGAAAACAAACTTATATAGATCTGAAGATATTATTGAGTCGTTAGGTATATGGAAGTTGCCATAGTAGGGATAAATTGACCTTTGAATATATGATCCATCTATATCAATAGCAAAAATTATGTCCAGAACTATCAAGTATAAAGAGTGTTCAGGCTCGCGACGATTCATCGGGAACGGAAGTAGACGACGACTGTCTCGACATAGACAGTGACCTCCCTCCGCTCGTTACGCCTGTGGTTGTTCAAATTACTGTGAATGACGCTTAGGAATTGTGAGGCCGTGCGACATTAATTTGGAAATGGTACTTTTGTTTATTTTACTTTGCGGGAGAATGATATGAATTTTATATTTGGATCAGAGTAAGTTTTTGTTTAGGTTGTCAAACAAAATAAAAAGAGAAAAAAAAAGAGAGACTTTTGAAACATTTTTGGGAAGAAGCAACCCGTAGAATTTAAAGCGATATTTTTTTGTAAAAAGGGGAAAATTAAAAATATTTGATTTGAAATTGTTTTTTTGAAAAGAGGAGGAAAAACTGAGAATATGCAAATTGGTGTTATTGGTGGAGAATTTTAAACCAAGATTCCCAAGATTTTCATTCAGATTGAATAAAGAACTATTGAGATTGTGGAATCTAGAACTTTGACGCTAAATCGGAATCTTTATTGAACTAGCATCACCATAATAGTTATCTCTATCAGATCATTGGTCTTATGTGGATGCAAGAATAAAAGATAAAATATCATTGCCGAATGAAATTTTTGCCAAAATATTGGATGATGGTTTTCAGTTGCCTGATAATTTGTGAGATTGTTTAAACTTCAAATCTTATAACGTTTCATCTGTGATATGTATAACAATTTCTGGTGGTCAGTTAACGTAGAATTTGGATGTCGTAAAGACGAAACATAAGTTAAGACATTTTGACATAATCGCTTAAATATTTAATAACAAATCTTAAAATTTTATTTTATTTACAATGACATTGAACTCGTAACATAACTAATAAGAAAACAAAAAGAAAATTATAAATATGGTTGTAAAAGGGATATTCATACATTTACACTAACATTCATACATCATATACACCTTCACACTCCAATTTTACACAAAATAGCATAGAATCTGAAATCAAGAATATAAATATATAAACTGATATTAAAATAAAGGGAAAAACTCAAAGATCCGGACTACAGGCCTGCAGTCAACATGGAAACTTTAAATTGGTGAATTTTAAAAAAAGTATATATCAAAATTATATATCATTCCAATTTGATTTCAAATTCACAAAACATAGAAAAGAGAAAAAAGAAAAGGATAATTAACAGAATTATGTTGATAACATAATAATGTCACAAAAATTGCAATATAACATTTTATACATCATTTCCCTTCTTAATTTTGCTGTTAAATAATATAATTTTTTTAAATGTTTTAATATCTTGTTGAATTGCATGAACTTTACTGATATTTATTACAATTTAACTTAATTTTAATATTTTAAAACAATTTTTTTATTTTTTTTTTTAAACTTAATATGACATTAACGTAGATTTATTTTCCACATTCATGACTTCAATTTCTTGTCTCACTGTATATATAATATAAAGATTTTTTTTCTAATATAATGACATATAACTTTTATTTTTGAATTTAATATTATTTTTTTATTATGGGTTTCTAAGTTATTTATTTAATTCGCGAAAAATGTAGGCATATTTTAGTTAGAAAGGTAAATTGGGCTATTCAGGGAACTTATTTTGAATAGCATAGGTTAAGTATGGGTTAAGAGAGGAGTGAGTAGAATTTCAGCTAATACTTATTCCGAACCAGGACTCATTTACATTCATCACTATTTAGGATTTTTCTCTCTCTCGAAATTGTTATAGTCGTTTCTAAGGTTTGTTTGCTACTATTTTTTTTTATTTTTGAGATAACGAACCGCCTTATCTTATCAGAGGAAAAGATCCCCCCATTATCCCTGAGCACGGCCGGACTGATTAGTAGCAATTTCCTTTGAATGATAAGGCTCGTCGGGAAATGGTTCGTTACAGAATATTGACAGGTGTCAATCTGACTTCCTGTCAATCAACCTAAGCTCCATTACAGTTTGTGAAAAACCCCAGCAGCATAAGTTCTCGGACGGCAACAACAATCCTTATGTTTCGATAAATAAAGTCCGTTTTGAGAACGTTTGAGAAACTTCTCGATTTTTATTATACTCACGTAGTAAACAAGTAAGTGCATCCTGAATTTTATCATCAATGTTATTTATCCGTCTTAATAAATAACAAATTTCTTCATATAATGGATGGAATTTGTTTAAATAGTTAATTTTTTATTGGTTTAAATGCCAACTTTTTACTAATTTCCTGATTGTCTGAAATTGTAAATCTCCATTTTATATACATAACATTTGTTTAACAATCTTAGGTCTGTTTTCATATGCACAAACGGAAAATAATGTTTAGAATTTTTAAAAATCACAATAAAAAATCAAAGAAAACATACAATTTTGTACCAAAAATTAGATTTTTTTGCAACCGGTTAACCGAAACTTAAAAACCGGATAACCCGGTTAACCAAAAACCAAAGTTTTAAAAAACCCGGTTTGCGAAAACCGAAATATGCAATAAAAACCGGTTTTTCGGTTAACCGGTTAACCGGTTTATAAACACTAATTATAATTCTTTCGAGGTGTGTATGTATATTACAAAGAACGCAGGCCGACAAAGTTTGGAAAAGTCGAAACCTTGAGACCATGTTATACTTTTCGAAAGGATTGCTCCGCGCTAAATCCGAATCTGACCTCAGATTTTCACCACATATGTGATTTGAGATGAGCGCCAAGGAAATTTATTTATAAAATTTTGTTAACTATAACTTGATTTTGAGCTAACTCATAAAAATCGGACATGGAAATAATTAAATATTATAATACCTTTAAATATGTGTACCAACACACTTGCAGGCTGGGTATTACTGGCAACACACGTGTAGTTTCCTGAATGTTCACGCCTTGTCCTTGAAATGGTTAGTTCTGATGACTGAAAATCTGCAAAATATAATTTAAAAAAATATTAGTAACGTTAATATAAAAATATTCTAAAAAGCGCTGTAACAATTAGTAAAAACTTGTTACTTTCTGTTTACATATGTATGAAAATATTTCATTTTATATTTAAAATTTGTTTATGTCGAATTTTATTAATTTACTGGTAAATTTAATCCAGTAATAAGCGTTAAAGTCAGGGACAGAAAATAATGATTATTCTTAAAATTTAAAACGAAAAAATTAAATACAATTATTCGGAGAAAAATTAATTGAATATACGCACTATCGATAATAGCAATATTCTTATAGAGGGTATATATAGAGGGTATATATAAGTTTGTCATTCCGTGTGTAACACTAAGAAATAGACAATTCGATGAATTTTGTCACAAATTATGTTTTCATCTAGAGATTAATTATGTTTAAAATTGTAACAATCGATCTAAAATTTCCCATAGCCCACATAAAAAGGTATATATTCCCGGAAATTATTTTATCGTTAATAACTTCCTCAAATATATTGGTATCAACACAAAATTTTGTACATATCGACAAAATGTGACCATGAATGATACTACAGACTTAGATCTATATCGGCCTGCAATTGGTCTTTTGAAAATCACTTAACTGCACATATTTCTTGATAAATAAAACTATCTTGATAAATTCGACATGAGTATGCTTTGTGTATATATAAATCACTCTACAGAATTATTTCTGGATCGGTTCATAATTGTTCATAACTCCCATATAAGGTCTACATCCGAAAATCACTTAAAAGAGCTTATTTCATAGATAAATAAAGCTATCTGGATAAAATTTGACATGAATGTATTTTGTGTATATATGAATTAGTTGATAAATAAAGCTTTCAGGGTAGAACTCGACATAAATATATATGTATATATATATATATATATATATATATATATATATATATATATATATATATATATATATATATATTTTCCGGATGAAATTTTTTCCGGATCGGTCCACAATTGGTTCTAGCTCCCATATAAGGTCCTCATCCGAAAATCACTTAAACAAGATTAATTCATTGATAAATAAAGCTATCGGGATAAAATTCGACATGAATATGTTTTGTGTACATATAAATTACTATACGAAATTTTTTTCCGATCGGTTAATAATTGGTCATAGTTCCATATAAGGCCCACATCCAAAAATCTCTTAAATGCGCTAAATTTATTGATAAATAAAGCTATCAGGGTAAAACTCGACGTGAATATGTTTTGTATGTACATATATATAAATCATTTAGCGAAAATTTTCCGGATCAGTCCACAATTGGTCTTAGCTCCCATATAAACTCCACTTTCGAAAATCACTTAAACGTACATATTTTATTAATTTTAAAATTCGATTCCGAAATGTTTTGTGTATATATAAATCATTGAGCGAAAAATTTCCACATCGGTCCATAATATGTTATAGCTCCCATATAAGGACCACTTCCGAAATTATCTATAAGCACAATTTCATTGACAATGAACGTGTTTCTTGTAAATATAAAAATCATTACACGAAATTTTTTTCAGTATCGGCCCATAATTAGCTCCCATATAAGAAGGTTCACTTCTGAAATTCACTTAATACCACATAATTTATTATTGAATTATTATAGCCGGATTAAACTCGACATGAGTATGTTCTGTATATAGATAAATCATTTTGCTTAATTTTTTTCGAATTGGCCCGTTATTGTCATAGTTCCTATATAAGTTAGTTCTACGAAATTTTTTAGTGTCTGCAGGATCGGCACATAATAGGTTATAGAATAAAAGGCCGGTATCTGAAAATCACTTAATACAAATGTTTCTGGAACTAATAAAAATTAAAATTATAGATAGTCTCTTAATTACGGAAACAAAACATATAAATAAATAAATAAAGTACTTTAGTACTAAGGTACATACTTAAGTAAAATTGTTTTATTTAGTATAAACTATAAATCCGGCCCTAAACCTTTAACATTTTTTAAAATACATTTATTGGGTTTTAATAAAAAGTAACTTGCAGGTGGATGGTATTTAAGGTTGGGCACAGCCGAATATAGCATTCTAACTTGTTTCATTATACCCTACACCACTATAGTGGGGAGGGTATTATACGTTTGTGCTGATGTTTGTAACACACAAAAATATTGGTCCTACACCCACCTTAAAGTATACCTATCGATTCAGAATCACTTTTTGAGTCGATTAAGACATGTCCGTGTAAACTATGTCCGCAAGGTACAGCCCGCAATTTTCAAGATAATTTGATGAAATTTGGACCAAGCATGTTTTTCGGCACAGGGACGAACTATTGAAAATGGTTGAAATCGGTCCATTATTTCACCTAGCCCCCATACAACCGTACCTCCCGATTTGGGCTTTTTATGCCATAACTACGTCAAATATAATATTATTTCTCTAAAAATTGGCACAAATACGTTTTATATAAGTATAGATTTTCGTAATGATCGGCCTATATTTGACCCTAGCCCCCATATAAACCCCCCTTCAAAAAATGTCTTAAACGTCTAAAATTGACTTGTAACCATTTGTATCGCAATAAAACTCAACAAAACTAACTGTTATTTAAAAATATATCCTTTTCCCAAATTTAATGAGGATCGGTCCATGTTTGACCTATACGCCTCATTTCTTTATGAAAAATAAAAATTTTAAAAATATACTCATGGTGTAGGGTATTATATGGTCGGCCATGCCCGACTATACTTTACTACTTGTTTTTAAATTGGGGAGTTATTTCATAATGAAATAAGTACGCATATTTGAGGAGTTATTTCATTTTTTGGTTTGTGGAGTTATTTCGTAGGGAGCTATTTCATGACGCCAATATTGATACTATAAACTATAAATTAAGCTTTAACAATTTTTAAAATACATATATTGGGTTTTAATAAAAAGTAACTTGCAGGTGGAGGGTATTTAAGATCCGGCTTAAATCTTGTTGTTTTTTAAGTTTTATTTAAAAAGCTGAATGTTAATTATTATTCTTTGAGCTTTATATTAGAATTATTAGTATTATTATAGAAATAATAATTAAACGGTGTGACAAAATTACAAAAAATCAATACATTCATCGCGAGACCTAGTGAAGTTGGTAGGCCTAGTAGAGTGGATTACAGTTAGTGTTTATAAAAAACCGGGTTTTCGGTAAACCTCAATTTTCGGTTCTAGAAAACCGGTTTGTCGGTTAACCGAGTATAAAAAAAAACGCTTAAACCGGTTAAACGAAATGTTTGGAAATCTTTATAATATTAAAATATTTTGGAAATAGACGACGACAGTCTCGACATATGTAGATATTGAGTCCCTGCTTTAATTGTGACCTTTCTCCGCTTGCTACGCCTGTTAACCGAAAACTAATGTTTTAAAAAAAACCGGTTTGCGAAAAACCGAAATATGCAATAAAAACCGGTTTTTCGGTTAACCGGTTTATGAACACTAATTGCAGTACCATTTTTAGAATCTTCAGTAAAACGTAAAAAACGGAAGATATTGGAAAAAAAAAGATTTTTTGGCTAGACAGACTAAAAAATTTATATCTCAAAATTTTCTTAACCGATTTCATATTGAAAAATGTTTCCTTTTGTACTTTTCAAAAAGTGCACACTTATATTTTTTACGGAAATTTTGTAAAATATTTACATCTAAATACAAATGTGTATATTTTTTTACAATTCAAGATCATTTATTAATAAAATAAGATATGAAACGTTGAAATAAGATAAAAACTGACAAAAATAATTTTTTTTCGTAAAAACAAAAATTTACCAAATTTTGAAAAAAGGCTTCACACATGAAAAAGTTGATATGAATGTGAAACTAGATTCCATTTATTTATTTATAGCAGTTCTGCGTACTCCGATTTTTATAATCAGCTCTTATGTCTGTAGAAACAAAATACTTTGTTTTTTATATTTTAACTTTTGAACAAAAATATTGTTTTGTAAAATTAATATTATAAGAATTGAATAATTTGTACTGAAAATAAGAATTTTATAAGTCTAACATAAAAATTCAAACTAGAAAATAAATACAAAAGGTTATGGGCCATTGTTGTTTCGTTAAGGAATTTAACTAAAAGGATCAAAAAAGATTACGTTCATGATTAAAGGTAATCAAGATTCAAGAAAGATTTAAGAAATAATGAAGATGAGCGACACCAAGTTCTATGGAATAGAAAAGCTCAAGTAAGACAATTATTATAATTGGAATTCAAGATGAAAATGTATCTGGTAAAGGAAGATCTGTGGTCCGTGATTCAAGAGCCAGCTTAGGACACAGATGCTTGTAGAAAGAAAGATATGGAAATGTTTGCAATTCCAAGTTTATGTGTTGAAGATTTCCAACTCATCCATATTAGGAATAAAACCACTGCCACGAAGGCTTGGAATAAGCTGCAACAACAATATGAGCAGGTACATTAAGCTCAAAGGTGCATCTAATGCGATATGCTGCCTGCGGTTAGGCTAAGGTGAGAATATGGAAGATCATATAAATTCCATGATGTAATTATTTGATAAACTCCGAACTATTATAAATCAAAATTTTACTGAAGATTTGCAAGTCTCCATGGTTCTTAGCAGTTTACCAACAAGTTATGATGGTTTAATCACTGAGGTGAGACCTGACAAAGATTTGACGATGGAAACCGTTAAAAGAAAATTAATGCAAGAATACTCTAAAAAGACAAATCGAGATGATGGTTATAATGTTTCCACATTAAAATCGAAAGCTGTAAACAAATTTGAAACTTCTATAAAAATACCAATTGTAAAACGGTAAGGTACCAAAAAGTCCCCTTTTATGGGTTCTCACTTAATCATAATTTAATATTTCTAGGTTCAATATTATCGAAAATTCAAAAAGTACCCTTTGAAGAACGACAAAGTACCAAAAATTACCCTTTTATAGGTTCTAACATAATCCAGGATCTAGATGCAATTTTATGTTTCTGGGTTC